GAGTCTATGAGTCTATGAGTCTATGAGACTAAAAATTAAAAAAGCTCAATTTCATGCACATACTGTAATCTAACTACTCCAAACTCCTTATTTTTGTGGAAAGGTCACACTTTGGGATAGGGCAGGGGATTAGTCACCATGGGAGATGAAGCATTTCACTTTTGGTTTGATTCTGGAAGTGGGGGCAGTAAAGATGTCACCCTACAGTAATTGTGGTTTTTTTGAGAGGTTGCTGTGAGTGTGTATCCTCTGCTCTAGGAGCACAGGTTTTTCACACGCACAAGTCTGGAATCTTTTGAATAGCCATGTCCATCCATGCTACCCAAACACACATGCTTCTTTGTGCTCCTGTGTGAGGACACAAAAGGCAAAGTGGCCACAACCCTCCCACAGTTCCCTCACAGAAGTCCATGACAGCAGACTATGAAAAGCAGCGATGGAGTACAGGTTGTGGGATCCACACTGACTACAAACACCTGGATGCCTCATAGTTACTATAGGGAAAGTAACAGTTCTTTTTTCTTCAAGTATATGCCAGTGTGGATCCCCCCAAATACAACCAGCAGCTGTATCCCCTCTGGAAGGGAAGAACAAAGTGTTTCAGCTTTATCCGTTGAGCAGTAATTTGATTGTAATACTGCTTTTCTAAACTTGGCACCTGCCCTGGTAGTTAAGTCCATTGCATAATGTTTGACAAAATTCAATGGGTTACTATTCTATGTTGGCAGATTTCAAAAACTGGCATGTTTCTGAAGCAGGGGGAGGATGTTACTTAAGCCTTAACATAAAAGGAGTACACCAACCAAGTGGTAACACTCTGAGCTACACTGCAGTATCCACTTCGATGTCCTTTGTGATAAGAGGGCTTGGCCTTCGGAAGGGGGGAGAAACAAATGGGTAGACAGCCTGAACAGTTTGGTTCTGTCAATATAATACAGTAAGACTCTGGAAACCTCCAGCTTGTATAACTGCTCTCCTGGAGTTGAGTGGGGTTCTGAGAAGAAAACAAGCAGGTAAACTGACTGATTCAGAAAAAAACTCTGAGATCACATTGGGGATGAACTTAGGGAGAGGTTTCAGTAACACTTTGTCCCTGTGACATATGGTGCAGAGGGGGTCAGCCATAAATGTGTGGAGATCATCCACTGTCCTAGCTGAAGCAATAGTAACCAGGAAGACCATCTTCAGAGTAAAACAAAATAAGGACCATTCTAACAGAGGCTGGAAGGGTGAGTGTCAAGAGGACAATGTTGAGGTCCCAGGCAAGAGTAGGTTCTCTGACTGGTGGATAAGTATATCAAGAGCCTTGAGGAACTTCAATATTTTTGGGTAAGAGACCAAGCATGACAGCACAAGCAGACAGCAAGCTGAGATCACTGTGACGGGGACCTTAACGGAGCTGAATGAAAAGCCAGAGCGCAGCAAATAATTGAGGATCTTTAGCATCACAGCCTGCCAAGGATCCAAGCTATATTGGGTCATCAATATTGAGAATCTCTTCCATTTTGTCAAGTAACTCTTTCTGGGCAAGGTCTTCCTGGACTTGTCAAGAACAGTCCCTGTCTGAGGTACTCAACTAGCCAACATCCAGGCTGTCGGATGTAGAGACTGTGGGTTTGGATGAAGTATCTGACCACGGTGCTTTGAAATCAGGTTTCAGCAGGGTGGGACCTGAACAGGTGAATGGACATCAGTAACAAGTCTAAAACTGCCTCGGCCAGGAGGAAGCTATGACAATGATCACAGATGGCTTGGTCTCGTTTGACTTTGGAGATCACCCTAGATGAGTCAGCAAAAAGCCATAGAGGAGGCATCTATTCTACCATAGAGGAGGCAGAAGGATGGCATCTAGTAATGATCTTGGGCTCAAAACTAAACACTTGGTCTTGTTTTTGGTGGCAAACAGGTCTGTCACAGCAATCCTCCATAGAAGGAGCATTGGGTCTATGATGGATCTCAGCAGGGAGCACTCATGATTGGTCATTGATTGTTCAGGAAGTCTGCCAAGTCACTGCTGACTCCCAGGAGCCACTGGGGTTACTCTGTGTTGGCAGCCCCATGTCCAGAGCTTGATGGCTTCCAAAGACAGGAGTGCTGAGCTGACGAATCGTTGTTTGTTGTGCATCATGGATATGTGGGCTATCATCATCTGCACTGTGGAATTTTGGAGGACGTTAGGAACACCATATGGGCTAGCCTGATGTCTCTGAGGTCCAGGACATTTATAGGAAGTCTCATGTCTCTAGCACAGGGGTCAGCAACCTTGCAGAAGTGGTGTGCTGAGTTTTCATTTATTCACTCTAATTTAAGGTTTTGCATGCCAGTAATACATTTTAATGTTTTTAGGTCTCTTTCTATAAGTCTATAATATATAACTAAACTATTGTTGTATGTAAAATAAACAAGGTTTTTAAAATGTTTAAAAAGCTTCATTTAAAATTGAATTAAAATGTAGAGCCCCACCTGGACCGGTGGCCAGGACCCGGGCAGCATGACTGCCACTGAAAATCAGCTTGCGTGCCGCCTTCGACATGCATGCCATAGGTTGCCTACCCCTGCTCTAGCAGATGTCATCTGAGCATCCCCAGACTTGCAAGTTCTCAAGGAGAAAGTCTGGCACACAGAGCATTTATCTGGGATGTCTCTCTCCCCCAAGCAAACCAGGCATCAACTATTCCTATCCATAGGGGAGATGAGCCCATCACAGGATGGGCAGAGTTTGAACCCTGACAGCTTAGAGTCCACCATAAAGTCTGGTGGCTGGCACAAAGTTCCTTACGCCACTGTGTGGAGGAGTGTGTGTGGGGGAGGGGTTGTCTAAGCGTAGTAGTTCTTTTTTTCAGACACATCCAATTTAAAAAGCAACAGAGGGTCCTGTGGCACCTTTGAGACTAACAGAAGTACTGGGAGCATAAGCTTTCGTGGGTAAGAACCTCACTTCTTCAGATGCAGATTCAGACTTGCATCTGAAGTGAGGTTCTTACCCACGAAAGCTTATGCTCCCAGTACTTCTGTTAGTCTCAAAGGTGCCACAGGACCCTCTGTTGCTTTTTACAGACTCAGACTAACACGGCTACCCCTCTGATCCAATTTAAAGGAGTGGAAAAGATAAAGTTCTTCACAATTTTTTGAGACAGGTTTTGAAGCCTTCAGGAGAGTAGTGGCTGAGAGTAGAGGGCACTTGCTACATTCTACCTTGCTGCCATGGGTGGTAAGAGGGAACTGAGGGAGGGTCGCAGCTGTTCCACTCTTCATGCACTGGCATGGGAGCATGTGGCGGCATAGGGTGCTTATGCAGCCCCAGTGGACCCTACTGTTCAAAATATTCTTTTGCTTATGTACACGAGGCCCATGTGCACTTACAGTGGGATCTACGCTAACATACAGGGAAAAAAATTAGGATTTTGTATTCCTAATAAGGTGGGAATTTTCTGTATTTGGGAAAATTATGAATGAAGAAGTGTGCTTGACTAATTGTGGTTTTAAGCTATATAAGCTTCTGTGTTCCTGTGTTCGGGAGAGCAGCCAGGCTGGTTGTCTCTCCCTGCATTCCTTGTAATAAAGGAGCCTCAGGCTGTTCTGATCCAAACACAACGCGTGGTAATTTCCCCACACCATTGGTAAGCTAGTTAAAAATGGGTCTGAGCAACATTCAGATGTTACCAGAGCATTAACAATTTCCCCTGTACAAGGGCAATTTCTCCCATTTCCCACAAGAACATGCTTTCTTTTAAAACAGCAGCCATTTTTATTTTTCCTTTCAAATTCTTTCAAAGATGCCTTGATTGCTATATAAGTGCCCATCATATCAACCACTGTAATTACTCTTTAACTAAGCACCAGCTTGTCTTACTTCACTCCATTTTCATAACCCTCAGACAGTAGTAGTTTCTCTGGCCAATACTGCTGTATGGGAAAGCAGAGAGCAATGTTATACTTGACTAAGCAACTTATCCTGGTAGAGTGAATTCTTTGATACAGCCTTAGCTTAAAAGAGGGTGATTTTTACCCCATCAGTGTCACTGGACTGAGCCAAGTGACAACCCACATTAGCAGGAAGGCAATGAGTCAGGTCTGACTAAAGTAGTTAATTAAAGGTGGCTTTTGGAGGGGAGACACTTAAAGACAGTTTAATTTGTAGAGAGGCTGAACATCCACACGCCCACACAATATTAAGCATGTACTTTACACATGGTGAAGAACAACATTTAAAAGTCAGGTTTTATCACTCAAACTTTTCCCAGACATTATATTCCCTTTGCCTTGTTCTTTATTTCCCCAGGACATTTCCATGGCAAGTTGACTGAAAGTTCACATGGACCGGCTGCTGCTTACAATAGTCTGTGCATTAACAGACTACATGTGATGGTGACCTTCAGCATAATTTTTTAAATAAAAAGCATAATGATTGTGATTTAGTTGACACAACTACCTTCCCCCCTCACATAAATGCAAAAGTCAAATTTGAAAAGCTGAAATTTCAAGCTCCAGCTGCAATGGGACCATTCACTACATGCTCTCACATCTATTAACATGATCCTCCTTTACACAACACATGTACACTAGTAAGGCAAAGTGTACTATATCCATCTTAAGTGTAAAACACTGTTTAAGACATGCATTTTAATATTTGTATTTCAGTAGCAGCTCATTTTGCTGGACACTACAATAAAACAGTCACGGTCTTGACTTTACAGTCCACTACCTATGGTGTATAAATGTATATTGTATAATTTGCATACTATTGTAATACAAAGATGCAGAGAAGCACACTTGGAAGAATCTTAACTCTGAATTTTTGTTTTTTTGGGCAGCCACATCTCAGCTGTCACAGCATCTAGAAGTCATGCCAAAAAGCACATTAGTGTACTCATTGCTTTAATTTGGGGGCTTGCTATAACAGACGCTACGAACCAAGAAAGTTTATTTTTTTTTTAAATAAAGAGAAATACACTGTCTTCTGCATGAGCAACATAATCAAAACCAAAACACATTTTTATTACAACTTTCAATTCTCAAAATAACCAAATGATTATCTAAATTTTTGAGTGAATTGAGGGAGAAGGGGAGGAGCAGTGGTGTTCACAAGTATGATCTTGGCCTAAAGGTTTGTCTTCATTAAAAAAACATCTGGGCCAGTAACTACAATGATGTAATCACCACTTCAAGTTTTCTGAATAGACACAAACCTTTAGTGTCACCCAAAGATGATTGGTGTCTTGTTTCTTCTTCACAATGATCACATCAAATATTTCCAGATATTTCACTGCCAAAAACTCAGTTTCAAAGGCTTTCTGATCTCCTGCCTGGTGAAAATTCATCACTAATACTGGAAACCGGGAGACTTTTCAAGTGGAGGGGTGGCCTCTATGGAAGGAGTCATGGGACTTTGGAATCATCCAAGGAAGCTTCATGGGCATATAGGCTGGTCTGCCGGGTAGGAGGTATTAAGGCAGTTCAGTGATCTTGTGTATTGGAGGGATAGTCGCCGTACAACTGAAGCTAATTTCCAGATGAAACAATACCTATCCAGGCACTTATCCCTAACTTATCACCGTGGTATCTGAGCTCCTTATAATTATAAGCGTAAACACATTAAAGATTTCTTAAGTGCCTGATGGAATGAGCTAATTCATCAGCATTTTGCTTCCTACCAGGGATGCAATCCATTTTGTAACATCACCATTAATTGCTGTGGAATTAGCCCAAAACGGCAACTTCAGTTGGAGTAAACTGTGGAGCAGCTCAGAGGAACTTAAAGGGAAAAAAAGAGCTTGTTTATTTCTACAGGCAACTGCCTCAAAATGTAAGATTAAAAAAAGTAATTTACAGAAGACAGACAACTTTTCAGGAAACTGGTAAGACATCTCTTTTCCCAGAGGTCTGGCATCCAATTTTCTAATAAAATGTGATAAAGTGTCCCAGTTTCCACATTTACTCTCATTCTTACAGGTACTCCAAAATACTAATAGTCGACAGTCACTTCAGCCCTGCTAGGTGTCTGAAATCGTGCCTGCAGACATGTACAACAGACTAATGGTTTGGGGATTCCTTTGAAAAAAGGAGAGGTTATAATATATTGTTATGAACCTCAAGATTTGAGGAGCTGATAGTTTGTAACACCAGTATTCACCAGCACAGCAACACAGAAAAGGCAAGACCCCTGTCACCCTGGTATATTGTCAATGCCCAACAGAACATGAACAGCTGGACAAGACTCCTACCATATTTTCACAGTAAGTATAAGACAAAAGGAAGATTTTCTACCAACAAGTATTTTAGTCTATTTACTTCCCCAACTCAACTATTCAATCCATCCCTCCACTCATGAAGAATTTATGGAAGTACCCCTTTGAGACACTCCCACGACCCTGTCTTTCAGCACTAGAATGCCTCCCAGCCACGTGTTATTTTATATGGCTATATGCGGAGACAACTGTCTTCCAACATCTAACAGAGGGATGGAGGTGGGGAAGAGACCACGGTGATAGGGAAATTAAAGAACTAAACCATTCAAACAACATGTTTAATGCTATATTAACCACGAGAAGAACGTTTAACATGCAGTTACTGACCACCAGCCTCTCTTCCCTGCATTTCTCCTCCCGTTAGCTAACAAAAGAAAAGCCCAAAGACTGCATTTAGTCAAGAGAGCAAGAAGTTGCCAGTTCCCTTCAAAATAAGTAGTTCTATAGATAAAACCAGGATTTCCTTCTAATTGAAAGAAAATTCCCCTCCAGTCAACGAGTCTGTCATCATTCTAAGGGAACTGTTACATTGGGTCAAGGGAAGGGGAATGTATTTTAGGGTTTTGCATACAGGGACAGACAAAGCAACTGCAATCTGGTAAAGTCCCAGACTATAATGGGGATAAGGAAGAGCAGGATGTGCAGTTCTCCTGGTAAGGTTAGGGGGGCAGGTGGGCTTTCAGTTGCTGGAGGATTTGGAAAGTCTGGAGACACTCTCCAGCAAGCGAGTGATTCCTCTTCCTCGCATGATGCTTGTGCTACATGACGATGTCACTCCAGAGGGATGTTCACCTATAAAATTAACCAGTACATTTTGCAAGTCAATCAGCATTTAAAACATTCATAATTCAAGAGATCTGCTGTCCTATCTCCCCTTGCTCCAGCTGAAAACTAGTGGGACTGCACCTTTTGATTGACCTAACCAAGAGTCAGAGTTTTGGACTTTGAAATGCTGTCCTCAAAGTACACCAAGTCCATCAATGATGTCCTTCTGGCAAAGGCTCATGACTTGTAGTTTCTGGTCTTAGTGCAGGGGTTGGATTAGGCAGGTCAGAGAACTGGTATTTTTCCCTGTTTGCCATCTTGTGCTCCAGAATCTAAATTTTCATTTAAAATCCCTCCCCGCCCCAGCCTGGTCTACATGGAAGGATTGAACCAATTCTAGTCGCTGTTTTGACTGCCCTTATTCAAACCCTAATGAGTATTAGTCTACTCTAGTTTCAATCAGTGGTAAATTGCAACACAGCACGTCTTAGTTTACCCTATCTACACTAGGGGTTTGCATCAATGCACTGGCTGGAAACAGGGCAAATGAGGTACACAAAGCCTAATTCTCTAGCCCTTATGGATGTAAAGGAAACCAGTCTTAAAAGTGTGAACAGAGTGTTGAGACAGTGATGTGTGCTAGAGTTTGCAGACAGCTGACAAACCAGATCTGAGGGAGGAATGGATGGCAGCTTTCATCCTGGGTGTAGACCCAAGCTGGAACACACTATTGACAACTATTTTGTTGCTAGTAGGATTCTTTAGACTGGTATGGAAACTTAGTTTGATGGAATCTTTTTGCTCTTTCACATTTTCTATTAGGCATTCAGATGTCTGAGCACATGTGTAAAGTTACAAGTTAAATGTAAAGCTTCATCAGAGTAATGTTAAAATTGAGCATTTAAGGACAAAGTCTAAAAAGGCAAGAGTTAGGTTCTCCTAGCAATGTCAGTCCACCCATATTGCACACAGCTATTGAACTTGAAAAGCAGAAACTGGTCCACTGTCTGTTGCTCCAAGCAAACCATTGCCTTTAGTGAGGTTATACAGAGCTAGAGCAGAATTTGGCACAGTGCATGCTGTACATGTGGGTTAATACTGCCAAGAGTATTTATACAAAGGAAAAGTTCTCAGTTGATTTGCTTTTCTTTATGAGCTAAGTAAAGAGCGTTTGCTCCAACTCCACAATACTGCAACTTGAAATGTAGCAAGATTGTATGTGCAGTAAAAAAAGATTTTAAAGAAAGACTATTTAAATTGTTTTCCTTGCAAACTCACAGCTACTAGCCCTCACTGAAGACTAGCCATGATCTGACATTTCAGATACCCTTGTGAAAATGTCATACTTTGTGGCTTAGGAAGAAGATCTGTTTCCCTTGCTCACTTAACTCAGAAGTACCTGGGAAAATGCAGCTCATTTTCCATAAAATAAACGTTATCTTTGGGCTCTGACCAACTAAAGAATGTTTTAGCTCCAAAAAGGCAGATTTTCAAGGAGTCAAGTTTATAATGGAAGTCACACTGCAACCAGTATTCATTGAGTTTGTATGTACTGTACTTTTTATACAAGACGACGTGTTGGGAAGACAACCCTACCCCAAATACCCACCAGGAAGTCCTCTCTCAACCCTGGTGTATGCTGAGAGAAAGGAGGGCTGCAGGAAGCTGGAGGTAACAGCACACAAGGAGTGCTGAACACAGTGAATTGGAGGTGTCCTTTTTGGCTCTGGGAATTCTTTCCAGTAAAACTGGCACTGGCCCATCTGGTTAAGGTCAGACATTAAGAGTTCAACCAAATCTACAACTGTATACATGAACGAGCTGAAGCTGTACCACCCACGGGAGGTATTGTGATGATCATCTGGCCATTTACTGTATCCAGAGACGGGGGGGGAGGGGGGGGGGCAAAGAAGGACAGTGCCACAGTCATCTGATAAAGACTTAATTCTCATTCTTTCCTTTCCCAAATCTGAAAGTCTCAAACTCACCAGCAGAAGAGGCAGCACCTTGTTTCTCAACTGGAGAGCTGAAGTATCCATTACAACCAGGATTCTGAGTCCTCCGCTTCTGTAGCAGAAAAAATTCAAGCCCCCTTCTCAGAACAGAAAGTGTTCTCTTTCACATAGCATCCACCACACCTACTCAAGATACCCGAGAGTGCTGGGTAAAGATTTAGGCAAGACAGAATATCTGGCTGCTTATCTGCATAGGATTTAAACAGGTTAATTCTCCCTGCCTCTTATTCTAAAAGAAGCATTTTTGCAGGTATATTTTGGAGGACCTGATGGTCAGATCAGAGCTTATATAGCAAATGGTTGGGACAAACTTTAGAAAGATGTCTAGTCAGCTAGTGGAGAACTTTCCTGGTTGGCTTTCCCAATACCCGTTGTGCATTATGAACAAGAATGTCACCTGCTGTACAAGTGAATATAGCCAATCTGACACTGGAAGGTCAACTCCATTGCCCCAGAAAGAAACGAGGCCACCTGCAGGAAAAGAGTAGTCATAGCAGCCTGAAATAATTCAGCACAAATTCAAAGAAGATGACCTGGAAACGTCCAGCATCCAGTACCACCACCTTGGGGTTTATATTGTTGCTGGAATCATAGTCTTGCAGAGGTAGGTGAGCTGTTGTGAGCGAGACTCCATACACGCTTGCCAGAGTGTTACTGATGCAATAACTACATTGAGCAAAGGAAAAAAAAAGTTCTGATAAGAATTCTGTACTGTATTTCTTATATACAAAGGCAACATAGCCCCAAGCCTCTTTTACAGTGAAAGACATACAGAAGGAATAGCTGCTATCACCAATATAGTACTTTGAGATTGGGGGGGGAGGGAGGGAAGGTGAGATAGGAGGACTACACCCTAATAACATCCTTTCATCCAGAAAAAGGCCAACCTTCTTTAAAAATTATCCATGTAGCTACAAGAATCACTTGCCCCCATCACCCAGGGTGAAACATGACAATTGTTTAATGGCACACAGCATTATTAAATCAGTTTGAACAGGAAGACTGCTACTATATCCAACTGTTAGGGAGATAATGCAATTATTTAAATGGATATTTGCCTAAATTACCCCTACTTTTACTTCCAAAAAGCAGAGTGCACAGGGTCATACATGAATTTCTAGGATAGAAATTGGTAGAAAGTCTTCACTATATTTCATCTCAACACAGGAACTCTAAGCTGCTATTAATAAAGCACAGTGAACTCTAATGCAGATGGCACAATCCTCAATATAATTCTAATACATTAGAGCAATCAGAGTCACCAGACACCCACCAAAGCACAGGTACTCATGGGCAGAGATTGGGGGTTTGAGGTAGCACTGCCCCCCCCCAAACTGGATATATTGCAGAGGTAATGCATGGGGGGGGACGGGGGACGCCCAGATTTCTCCCTTCTATTTGGCCCTGCTTCCTCCCTGCGGAGAAATGTTCGGGGAGGGGGAGGGCTGGGAAGGGCGCAAGTGGTGACACCAGGCCCTATGTGTGTCCAGGTCAGTTGTGAGCTGTGTAAGGGAAGGGCAGGAGAGCAGCTCCCGATTGGCGGGTAGTAATTGATCTATCGGGGATTGATTTATCGTGTCTTGTCTAAACGCGATAAATCAATCCCTGAATTGACGCCCTGTACTCCACCTCGGCAGGAGGAGTAAGCGGAGTCGACGGGGGAGCCGCGGCGGTTGACTTGCTGCCGTGAGGATGGCCAGGTAAGTTGAACTAAGATACTTTGACTTCAGCTACATGAATAGCATAGCTGAAGTTGCATATCTCAGATCGATCCCTCCCCACCCCCCAGTGTAGACCAGCCCTAAGAATTGTCTGCAACATAGACACATCTCCTTCATGGTACTCACGCAGTTTTCTTGCAGGATGCTAAAGCGCAGAACAGGATGTCATTCTCTTCATGCCACTTGCACCTAAGTGCAGATTGAAATTCTTCTGAGTTCATAATGAAAACAAAACTACACTCTTAATTGAGATGGATATAATTAATCTAGTTGGATTAGAAACTCCTTGGCTGATGCTAACCTCCCGTTCTCCTAGTCACTTTCAATGTAATTACACCCAGATCTAGAAAACTCCTGGCACAGTCTTGGTGCCCAAAAGTAACATAGCTTGGGCCCCTAAGTTTACATTTAGTTAAGAGGTTGTAATTTTATAAAACCTAATAGAAATTCTCTTTTTCTTAAAAAAAAGAAAAAAGAAAAGTGAATTTAAGGAAAACCATCCACTTGAAGTCTCTTTAATTTCAAAGACTTAAAAGTAGTTTTTGGTACTATTCCTGCCCCAGATTCTCCCTGGGAATTTGTGATTTTGTAGTCACAAGGTTCCCCTTTTTTTAATTATTATTAATTATTATTATTATTAAAAGGACAGTTTCTTTTCCCTGTTGGTGTGTGAATGACCCACACAAACAGGGTGAAATGACTATACAAAGGAAATGGTGACACTGACTATACAGAGTGCTGTCAAAAACTCAAAACTAGACAGATATTTTTCTCCTATAATCTTAGAGTTACAAAAAATTTACAGTCTTAGTTGTTACTTATAACAATAGCAGGTAAAATATCAGAAGTAAATGGACAGTGTCACTTTAAATTTCTCCTGTAGCATTTGCAGCCCAGATGTTGCAGCACTGTGCTAGTGCATGAGAACCTGAAAGTGAAACCAAGAAGTCTATCTTTGCTGTCCATGATACACATTCAAAAAGTGAACGTAAGGCGAGAAATATATTCAGACTGAATCTTATTCAAATATAAGGTGTTTTGCTCTCAGACATATCCATGAAAACCCAGTTAAGTCAATGGATTTTCATGGATGAAACAAAAGAACTTGCTCTGATTTCTAATCTAAGCACCTCTATTAAAAAAAAAATCTATTTTGGCAGACAGAAATGGATATATAGTCCAGCAGGATAATTCTGACAACTTACCTGTATTTTAATTTATGGGGTACAAATAAGAACATCTGACTACTATAATTCAGTGGATTATTAATGAAGCAAACATTCTTCCAAACCTTTTCTTAATGCAATTTTAATGGGTTTATGAAATTCAAAGCAGCAAAGACGTTCATATTTTGAGATACCTCCCGAACACAAGCACATGGAAGTATTATCTCACCCCATCCTTTTCCACTCTCAAGTCAAACCCACAAGCCTCTGCTTCACAGCCTTCAAACCTATGCTTATGCTTGAAAAAACAGAGACATACTGTCCAAGAGCGCATTTCCTCCAGCCACATCTCAGCCATGATCCAAGGAGGACCAGCCTTAATGATGAGACTAGAGTCTTCAGCTAACCTAACACTGAAGTAAGAAAGGTGTATGTGTGCAGCCTGTTTAAAGCACCTGGCTAACAGATAGTTACCACTATAACATCTTCCTGTTCAGGAAATAGGGAAGAGCCAATGACAGCATACCTAGTGTTACTGGAGTAATCCCACATGAAGACATCCAGCAGGTTGCGCACCCAGGTCTTGGAAGGCTCCTTTTGAAGTTTCCGCTGGTACAGTTCCACCACCAGGTTTTCCACACTGAGAAGCTCCAGCTGGTTCTCAATGCCTGTTATTCAGAGAAGACCGAGTCAAGAAGAGGAGAAGGAAGGGCAGAAACTTTGACAAATATAGGTGGGACAGAGGAGATGCTGCTGAGATACTAAGACTCCTTACAATCTTAAAAAATTAACTTCTCACCTGATTCCTTAGCCATCCATTTCAGACACCAGTTGACTCTGTACCAGTCATCAGACTACAGAGAAAAAGGTTTCACTGTCACATGCTCCAGAACACAACTACAGCTATGGAGTGGAGTTTAGTTTTCTCCGCCTCCCCTCCCCCACCACTCCTAAACCATCTTCTCCAGCTACTTTAATTCTTGCACAAAGCCATTTTCACTCTTCCTGAAAGTTCTCCATGTGTCCTAAAGAGGGCTCTGGCTCAGGGTGCAGGCTCTCGGGTGGGGCTGGGGATGAGAGGTTTGGGGTGCAGGAGGGGGCTCTGGTCTGGGGCCAAGGGGTTTGGAGTCCAGGAGGAGGCTCAGGGCTGGGACGGGGGGTTGGGGTGTGGGAGGAGGTTCGGGGTGCAGGCTCCAGGAGGGAGTTTGGGTGCAGGAGGGGGCTTAGGGCTGTGGATGGGGTGTGGGAGGGGGTGCGGACTCTTGGAGGCAATTAGGGTGCGGGAGGGGGTTCCGATCTGGGGCAAGGGGTTCAGGGTGTGAGCTCCAGCTGGGCAGCGCTGACCTCAGGTGGCTCCTGGTCGGTGGCACAGCGGGTCTAAGGCAGGCTCCCTGCCTGCCGTGGCTTCACGCTGCTCCCGGAAGTGGCTGGCATGTTGTCCAGCCCCTAGGTGGAGGCATGGCCAGGAGGCTTTGCGCTGTGCATGAGGCCCGCCCCAGTAAGCACCGCCCCCGCAGCTCCCATTGGCCGCAGTTCCCAGCCAAGGGGAGCTGTGGAACCATCACTGCGGGGGCAGCATGCGGAGCTTCCCTGATCACCCCTGCGCCTAGGGGCCGCAAGCACATGCCAGCCGCTTCTGGGAGCTGCGTGGAGCCAACCAGACTTTTAATGGCCTAGCAACCCTAGCTTCCCCCCACGGGTGGAGAGGGTGGGGGTGGGGGCTGAGGCTCGGGGCTTGCTGCAGGCCGGATGAAATTAAGCAGCTGGCTGAAGGTTCCCCACCCTTGCTATAAAGGCTTCTTTGGGCAACTACAATAGGACTGTGTATTTTGAAGAGCTGCTCTAACTTGGAGGGGGCTGGATTGTACCTTGCAGTACACAGGTGGCCACCTGCCGCGGTTTGGCCGAACAAACGAGTAAAGTTCACGTAACACAACAGGGTGACCAGCATTCGAGAGCTCAAAACCAGATATGGGGATCTTGTGAGTGGCATCGCCTAATGGAGGTTAATGAGGAAAGAGAAAAATGGGATATGAGCAGTCCTTTTTTTTTTTTAAAGAAACACGCACTCCTTTCTCTACTCCTAGGCCCACCTACCATCCACAAGTAAAATCTGCAAGATTCATGCACACACCAGAACCTCATCTTTAACATGTACCTACTTATTTTCCCCAAAGATCTGGGATGATCTCAGGTGAGAGCCCTACATTGCTTTAAAGAGAGTTACCCAAACATTTTGATAAAGGGAAGCAGCAGCTGTGTCAGTTAGCAGTGTGTGTAGGGACAGGAAGTCCACTAACTGGAATCTATAAACACTGCTCAAATGGCGATACAGGGAAAAGGTAAAAACAAAGCAATGCAAGTCAAAATAGCAGAGAGGGCCAACCGACAGGGTTGTAGGAATACTTTAACTTGCTTAATGTCAATGCTGCATGGAGAAGTATTAGGTTTGTATTTCTAGAGATTCCTCTTTAATAATGATACTTTATATTAGCATCTTCCAGTTTGGGAAAAAACAAGATTCCAGTGTATTTTTTTTACCCATTTATTTATTTTTTACAAGCTATGCGCACACACCCGGGGGAGATGCTTTACCCACCACTGAAAGGCAGCCACCTCAGAGATGGAAATGACAGCTACGAAACATCACACACTGAAGTTACACAGACGTTTAGGACAGAAATACTGAAGCTAATTGGAATTCCATGTGGGAGGGCAGATCATAGCCAACAGGACATGATTACCCACAATGGACGTTTGGGCAAGACACCATCATTAGTGAAAAGTGTCAGAGGTTCTTTAATGACTAGTTATTCAGAAAGAAGAGCTCTTGGTCTACAGAAGACACAGCATTATGAAATCCCTCAGGAAGTTTGCTCTAGTGCCCATCTCTCTCTTGGATGCGAGATGCTCAGTTCTTAGAGAAGCATCACTTCTCACAAGCAAGGAAAATGTTTGAAGGACTGGTGTACATAAGCCAGTGAAACTGCCAAACCCTGCATCCCATCCCTTTCCTTCTCTGATACTCACTTGCTGCTTGACAATGAAACCGAAAGCCACGTGGCACCTCTCCTGCAAGAGGGCAGAGAGAATACACATTTTATCAAGCAAGAAACAGATACATGAACACTAAATAATGAACAATATCTCGTCGTGCTAGAAGAACGGCCATACTGGGTCAGACTAAAGGTCCATCTAGCCCAATATCCTGTCTCCCAACAGTGGCCAATGCCCACAGGGAATGGACAGAACAGGAAATCATCAAGAGATCCATCCCCTGCCACCCATTCCCAGCTTCAGGCAGAGGCTAGGGACACCATCCCTGCCCACTCCGGCTAATAGCCATTGATGGACTTATCCTCCATGAATGTATCTAGTTATTTTTTGAAACCTGTTATAGTCTTGGCCTTCACAACACCCTCTGGCAAAGAGTTCCACAGGTTCACTGTGTGTTGTGTGAAAAAAATACTTCCTTTTGTTTTAAACCTGCTGCCTATTAATTTCATTTGGTGACCCCTAGTTTTTATGTCATGAGAAAGAGTAAATAACACTTCCTTATTTACTTTCTCCACACCAGTATGATTTTATAGACCTCTATTATATCTCCCCTTAGTTATCTCTTTTCCAAGCTGAAAGGTCCTAGTCTTATTAATCTCTTCTCATATGGAAGCCATTCCATACTCCTAATCATTTTTGTTGCCCTTTTCTGAACCTTTTCCAATTCCAATATACCTTTTTTGAGATGGAGTGACCACATCTGCACACAGTATTCAAGATGTGGGTGTACCATGGATTTATATAGAGGCAATATGATATTTTCTGTCTTATTATCTATCCCTCTCAATGATTCCCAACTTTCTATTCGCTTTTTTGACTGCTGCTGCACATTGAGTGGATGTTTTCAGAGAACTATCCAAAATGACTCCAAGATCTCTTTCTTGAGTGGTAACAGCTAATTTAGACCCTATCACTGTATATGTATAGTTAGGATTATGTTTTCCAATTATCAACACTGAATTTCATCTGCCATTTTTTTTGCCCAGTCACCCAGTTTTGTTGAGATCCTTTTACTCATAGACTCATAGACTTTAAGGTCAGAAGGGACCATTATGATCATCTGGTCTGACCCCCTGCATGCTGCAGGCCACAAAACCATCCCTACCCTTTCCTTGACTCTGCTGATGAAGTCCCCAAATCCTGTATCTTAGTGACTTCAATTGGCAGAGAACCCTCTGCTAGAGATCCCTGCCCCATGCTGCGGAGGAAGGCGAAAAACCTCCAGGGCCTCAGCCAATCTACCCTGGAGGAAAATTCCTTCCCGACCCCAAATATGGCGATCAGTAAGACCCCGAGCATGTAGGCAAGAGTCTCCAGCCTGACCCTTGTTCGCCATTATACTGTTTACCTACCATTGCTTGGTATTCCTCAGCTAATATGTTTTACCATTAAGCCATTCCCTCCATAAATGGCTTTTGTAGCTCTTTGCAGTCTTCCTGGGACTTAACTGTCTTGAGTAATTTTGTATCATCTGCAAATTTTGCCACCTCACTGTTTACCCCTCTTTCCAGATATTCATAAATTATGTTGAATAGGACTGGTCCAAGAACAGACCCCTGGGGGACACCACTATTTACCTCTCTCCATCCTGAAAACTGACCATTTATTCCTACCCTTTGTTTCCTATCTTTTAACCAGTTACCAATCCATGAGAGGACCTTCCCTCTTATCCCCTAACAGTTTAGTTAACAGCTTTATCTACCATCGTGTATCCTTCCATAACTGCCATGAATGTTCACTTATTTAAAACTTATTTTCTTAGCTATATTCATTTGCACAAACTCTGCACAATACACACGTTTTACAACCTGTTGCATACCTCTGTTTCGACCACTATCTAGGCAAATGCATTTTACCATTAAATCCAACGCACACAAGCGTGCAGCGTCCCACCTACACAGTAGTAGTTTTTTACGAAGCTGTCTAGCCATCAGCTGGAAGAAAGATTTTATTTCAACTACTTTCTCACAAGATTTCTTTTACCTTCCAAGTTCTCACTCAGTTGGATGCCAAAGGCCACCTTTCTGCAGACTTTAGTAGAAGGCAGCATTAACCACAGGCATTTATGCTGCTGCTATCTACCTAAAATTCTCAACAGGAGCGTGTCTTATGCTAGAAACTTGAACTGGGTTGGGAGAAGTGAGATTAGAAAGTCTTCGTCCTTCCACACAACTGAAATGATGAGTTTCCTCCCCTCCATCTGTCCCTTAAGGCTCACCGGGATCTACAAAGCGGTGGAAATCTGCTGTTATGCCATCCTGTAATGAGTATTTGACACAGCCAATCTCACAAGGGAGGAAGCGCTGCTCACAGGGAGAGGGCAGCTCTCCATGACTGTAAATGTTCAGGAAGCAGAAGATGTTCCCAAGCACAGCTGGAAGGATAAATTTGCAGGGGTCACTAGAGGAGAGAGCAAGCAAGTTTTTTTCCATCCAGTGAACATTATTATTTATATTGCAGCAGTACTTATAGGCCCCAGTCAAAGATCAAGGCCCCACTATGTTAGGTCACACAACCGAGTAAAGACACAGGATAACAATTGGATGAAACAAATAAGGAGTGGCATGTGGGAGGACAAGGTAACCGTTAAAAGGACACTTGCATAAATCAGGAGATTCTGCAGTCACAGTTCACCTCCAGCTTAATTCAGATGGTACTGTTTTGTAAATATCACAGCACAGGTTAACAAAAATGCCAGGGGTCCATCAACTACCACCACTCATGCCTCCTTCCAATAAAGCTCTCCAAGATTTTGTCTCTAAGTAGGGATGGGAAATGTCACCGATACCAGGAACTCTAAACAGCACATTAAGCTTCAACCAAATCCAGTGGGAGGCAGACTGAACTAAGGAGATAGTGCTTTTACACTGGAGGGCTGAAAAGAATCAAAGAGCCCTTTAAGAGAGCTCACCTCTAAAATAACAGAGCAAGAACATGTGACAGGTTATGTCTGATACAAACAAGAAACAATGCTCAGACTTAGCATAGCAACAGGTCCAAACTACTAAAATACTGACTTCTGTCAGTGAACACTGTACAAATCGTCTGTGTTTCAGTGACAACTAAGGGTATTCCTTCACCCCAGCCTAGCCCATTCTCTCTTCAATAATATTTTATTTAGTGCTTGCACTGGTTGTATGTATCTTGGCTGGTGGCTTGACTGTTTATAGCATTTTGTAAGTGCTACTGTATATTATACTAGTGCTTCTCGGAGGCAGGGTGAAGTGCACTGTGGCAGTGCTCTGAGTGTCTCCTTTGCTGCTAGTCAATGCTGATCAAAGTATCAGTTTTACACGGAAATGCAGATGGGAACAGATTGGCTTTTCAGGGTTCTATTTAGTAAGACACTAGCCAGCCAATGTGCAAGTACAGCACTGACTGACACAATAGCTTTCTCCCTGCTAGGCTCTCTTGTTACCCAGTGTCTATACTGTTGTTCTGAGCTTGCACTCGGACATCTAAAAATTCCCCACCCTGTTATACTTGACATAAGCACTGGACTAGGTCTTGTATATCCCTAATGAAATGGAAGTTACAATAGAAATGCTTTCCTGCAGCAGTTCACTTCGGTTTATCTCCAATCATTTACAGACATTAAGGGCCTTATTCTGTCCTCAAATATGTACATGCAACTCCCATTAAGTTTAAAAGGAGGTACAGCCACACATCTGTGGGCAGAAACGGCCCCCAGAACATTATGAACTACATTTCTATTATGAAATCCTTTGTTACTGTAGGACAACTTACAACAGTAATTTTAACTAAGTTAGTTTTTGTCTGACATATTAAATATATTCAGATCTAAATTAAACATGAATTTCCCACTTTCCCCAGCTAAGGCCTATAAGCCAGATGTAGCAATTCTGCTCCTTATGGAAGTCATCCAACACTTCAAGATCCTTAGGATTAAGCTTCTTTAGGTTTACTCTACCCTGATCGTTCTTCCAAGAAAGACTGATGGCATCTGGAAAAGAAGCGTGTCTCTGTATCTGCATGGGCAGTGGTGCAGGAACCGGAGAAAGCTGACTGGGAGGCTGCAGAAGACAAAATAGAGTTAAATCTATAGTCTGCTCCTCCAAAGTCAGAGAAGGACCATAAGATAGCTCCTCCTTTGTCCTCTATAAATGGATGGCAGCACCGCTCCTTCTAAACCCACCTAACCACAGTTTGCAGTATGCAGGCAGAACCTGCCGATTACGAGCAGGCATGTTCTGACACAAAGGATATTAGCGGTGCCCACACCAATTTACCAACACATGGAAAGAACTAGAGCCAAGCCTCTGAATTAAAAAAACAAACATCCACAGAAGGACACTTCATCCATGTTTAGGTTTGTCACATATCTTCCAAGCCTACAGACTTTCGTCCCTTCCCCTAGGATGTCACTAACACAGTTTCCCCCCTAACTAAAAAGCCTATAAAGAGCAGGCTAAAGACAATTTCTTTCACATCTACTTTATTAGTCATTATTACACAATATTTCAGAAGTTAGAATTACAGGGTAAGTAATGTCTATTTATTGCTTCTCTGAAGGTATCATCATGCAGGATTCGCAATCTTGGGTCTTGCGTCTCCAGTACAAGTCACGAAAAAATTCTCATTCCTCTTAGGGTTTTTTACCTTCGGATACACCTCTAGGCTGGCCTCAGAGCTCTGGCCCCCAGAGTATGCTCTAACTTCAGGAACATCAGAGGGCCCAGAACATTTAAACTAGCTCCCTTTAAAATGTGGAAGCAAGGGCTCCCCAAACTTCAATTATATGTAAGAGACCTACACACTTCTCCCTTACGCCCATAATCTTTTCTTAAAGCAACAAAAAACAGTACAGAGGAAGTTAACCTTCTCAGAACATGTAATCAACAATGTAGAAGTGAGTGCTCACTGTGTGAACAAAGGACATGTTACATTATCATCTGAACCCCTCAAACTCTGAGGGGTACAAGCATGACAACATTGCTGGAGAAGCAGAATTACAAGGTAAGCAGTTTTCCCTTCCTTAAAGATATTATTTAATACAGATTCCCAACCCCGGAGAGGAGGTACGTTCAAGGGATGTCCTGAAATAGTAAGTTTAACAATGAACATGACCAGAATGTATATCACTGAAGAACTCCTCCAAAAATTGGTCAACTTCAGTAAAGACATCCTAAAAGAGAAATTATAAGCAATGGAATTGTTTGGATTCTCCTTACTTTAGGAAAGAGTTCAGTATGACTGAAGAGAGATTTCCCCCCCACACACACCTCAGAGATGTGTAATTAGTAGAACAACAAGAGTTAAGTTTACCTAAGGGTTCCATTTCCCCCCAAGTAAAGTTGCCCAGGATCGTGAAAGTCAAGCATGCAGAGAAGGGCCTCGCTGGGATGGGGTTGCATGCGTGGGAAGAATGTAGGCAGGATGAAAGTGGAAGTAGGCTTCTTGGGCAGAAATTGTCAGAAGATTCTGTACCACCACTATAACTTTGTAAAACTTAATATAAGGTGGATTAGTCATTAAAACCTGAACACATCCTAGGAGTAGAGATAGTACACTTCCTGGTGATGGTTATCACAAAACTTCTGTCCCCAAGTACTGAAAGGCTCAAAAGGAACTTTTCTTTAGCTTTCTCAGGATCATATTTGTTATGTGACACCAAAGCTTTTTAACAGGGTCTGACACTGGCAGGCCAGATGCCAGCTCTTATCCAGGCTGCAAGCATTAGATAAGAACTGACAGTCTTGTAACTGGAGACCAGACCAGGTAACCTGTAGGTTAGTTTTGCTCAAAACAGGTATTAGTCTTATAAGAATGTATTTAGCGTTAAAACTCTATGAAATGCTTGTAAGATGCTGCGTGCATTAATCTCATTTGCAATGTCTGTATTCCATGCAATAAGAAACTATGTAAGTTTTGCCGAATAACTTTAAAAAAGTTTGCTCTGAACTTGCAAACTCAGTCCCGGGAATCACCCCCCACCCATTCAGAAGGACTATCAAAATCAGATGGGTCATCAAGGCCCATCACGATACAAAGGACTGGTTAATGGCTCTCTCACACCTGGGAAATGCTATGTGGAAGGAAGCTCCTCCTGTTAACTTGGAAGCTGAATGAAGGAATAAAACGAAGTCACAGAAAAATTTCGATCTCTCTCCTCGCTGTTTGAACTCTGACAGGGCCAGATGTCCTACACTGAGGCAGAGATCCCTAGGGGTTACCCCTGAGTCCGCCCTGAAAGACCCTTTGAATTGACAGATCACTACAACTCTGTCACTCTTAGGAGTTACGTGGTAACTCATTGGTGTGTGTTTGCTTGCTTTAATCTGCAAACAACTCTTATATTGCTTTTTCCTACCTAACAAACCTATAGGCCATGTCTCCTCTACTGAGCTTACACCGACGCAGCTGTACCGATGCAGCTGCACAGCTGTAAGATCACTCATGTAGCCACTCTATGCTGACGGGAGAGAGCTCTCCCATCGACATAATTAAACCACCTTCAACGAGCCATCCACACTGGCGCTTCTGTCGGTGTTACTTATGTCACTCAGAGGGGTGTTTTTTCACACCCCTGAGCGACATAAGTTATACCGATAAAAGTGCTAGAGTAGACAGAACCTTAGACAGTTTATTACAGGATTGGCTACAGCGGCTGTCTCTGGTGTAAGATCTAGGGTACCAACTGACCGAAGGGTAAATGACTGGTCTCTTGGGACTGGAAGCAACCTGAATGTGCAGTGATTCTTCGTATAAGTGACCATTTATCACTAATTGTGTCTTTGTCTGGGTGGCAAGACAGGCTTGAGAGTGTGTGAGACTGTCTGTGACTCCATGATAAGACTGTTATAGTGATCCAGGAGTTCACATTTAATACTGGCTTGGTGACATCTAATTCTAGAACACACCACCAGTTTGGGGTGTCTGCCCTGAGGTAGGCACTCTCGGATACAATTACAAACTAATATTATAGCCATGCGTATTTCTACACTAACAAAGGAAAAGGGACAGAAGGTAGGCTTCTCGTAAGTTCTTAGGGTGGCCCTGTGTGTCACAATTTTGACCAACCCCTGCAACTGTGTTACTCCTCTTATTCAGCCCACTCCAAATTCCAGGTTTCTTCTTCTACCTTCCCATTTACCTGTTTCATTGATGCCTGGGTGGAGTTCTCTGCTCTCCATTTACGAGCCATCTCTGTGTATTTCCCCTTTTCATCCTCAGTCAGCAACTGTAAATAAGAGAGAAGGTGAGATAAAGCAGCAATGGAGATGGATTGAGCCAGTACTGGCTGATACACCATATTAAACACTATAAGGGCAAGTTGGCAAGTGAATTTCTTAGTAGAAAGAGATTGTTGGGGTTTTTTTAATATTAAAGTGGGCACTGGGGGAGAGATTATGCACTATTAATAAAACTGCAAGACTAAGAGCCAAAATCAGGTTAATGAACATTTTAACAGACTGATCTTGTGCTACTAGCCACATCCTAGCACAGAGGTTCTCAAATTGGGGGTCAAGAGGAACAGAATGTATTCGAGGGTGGGGGCTGAGAAGCCACTCTGCCTTCAGAGTTGGGAAGCTGGAGAGTGGCAGCTGCTGGCCAGGCACCCAGCTCTGAAGGCAGCACCATTGTTAGCAGCAGCAGAGAAGTAAGGGTGGCATCCACTCTGCCTTCAGAGCTGGGCGGCAGTATATGTACCAGTGTGGCAGGAGCAGGGGCCTAAAGGACTACAGACACAAAAAAGGGGGCCCCGATTAAATAAGTTTGAGACACACTGCCCTAGCATAAATAAATATAAGAATTTTAGCAATCTAATTCACTCTTTTACTAATGCCATTTGTTAACATTTTGCCTTTTCTTCCACTTGGACTATGCCACCAGACTGGTCGAAGTTTCATTTACTGGTTTTTAAGTATTGGCAAAATGTTTTGTTCCCACAGATCAAAACCAGCAAATACTGATGCACATGCTTAAAATTAAGGATCAAGATCTTAAATTTGTAAATTTAATTTTTTTAAATAAGATTTAATTTTTAAAAATGCAAAATTACATTTCTATATTCAGACTTGTATTTGTTCCCCTTTAAAGAAAGGTATATTTGTCCCAAATTTTATATTTGGTAATAAGCATTTTTAAACTTTTGTTTAAAGTGTCCTTTTTAAAAAATTCTAACTGAAATAATCTTTCATTATCCTGTACTATTTATAATTTAGAAACTTCAACATTGAAAACCTAAAAGAGACAAACCTCACTGATTCACCAATAACATAGAAAAATTAAAATATAGTATAAATAGTGAAGAAAATTGGATTTTAAATCCCTTTAATAGTTAAAGAGGTTTCTACTTAACAGATCAAAGAACTGTCTACTATTTACATCTTAACAGTGTCACATCTACATTGGGCAGTTCAAACCAGTTACCCACTCCCTGCAAGAGAGTCCCTTTAAAACTGAGTTAAGTCAGGAAACATGCAAACACCATAAACAGAAAAGAGAAAAAGCATTTCCTACTGCCTTTCTCTAGCTAAAGAGGAAGACACTTCACCCCAGAGAGGATCTCTGTGCAGCATGGAAAGTGATGGGGTGGGTGTGTACATGGGGGGGAGGGGGGGAGAGGACTTGTAGATGGGGTGCATGCCCAGCAGTAGGTGTAGGGAAAAGGTAATAGGGGAATACACATCCAGGGCAGGGTGTGCATTGGTGAGGGGGATGCATGCCCAGAGTTGGAGGATGTGTGCGTAGGGGAAATATGCACACCCAGGGTTGGGGATCCACACCTGGGGTTGGGTTTGTGTGTATGGGGGAATGCACACCCAGGGTTCGGTGTATGTATGGGGATGATGCACATTCACAGTTGGGGGTATGTGTGTGTATGGGGGAGATGCACACCTGAGAGTGGAGGGGGGAATGCACACCCCAGGGCTGGGGTGTGTATGGAGGGATGCACACCCAAGATTGGAGGAGGATGTGCAGAGGGGATGCATGCCTGGAATTGAGGGTATGTGTGTGTATGGGGGTGATGCACAGCTGGGGTTGGAGGGAAGGGATGCATGCCCAGAGTTGGGGGGTGGTAATAAGGGGATGCATGCCTGGGGTTGGAGAATGTATTGGGGTGGGAATACATACCCAGGGCTGGGGGGATGCATGCCCATTAGAGGGTGTTTTCGGGGGGATGCACACCCAGGATTGGGGGTGGGTAATGGGGAATGCACACCCGGGGTTGAAGGGTGTCTGTTGGGGGCGGGGAGATGCACGCCCAGGGTTGGAGGATGTGTGCTGGGGGAGGGGATGCACGCCCGGGGCTGACGGGTGGGGGGAAGGTGCAATGGACATCCCGAGGTAAGAGTATGTGGGGGGTCCCGCAGTGTTGGCCAGGCCCCGCTCACCGCCCAGTCCCGCGAGCAGAGCGGGATGGCGTCGGGCACGCGGGCCACAGGCAGGCCGCGCCGCTGCAGCTCGGGCAGCTTCTCGCGCACGAAGAAGTAATAGGCGTTGCGCGCGCCCTTGCGGTTCGGCATGGCTCGGGAGGGCGGGACCGGGCACACCGACTAGGCCTCCGAGCCCGGGCTGGAGGCCGCTGCTTTATCGCCTTTGCGGCAGCGGCCTCACCGAATCCCCTCAGCCCCGCCCCCTCCGCGAAGAAAGAACCAATCGTATCACTTAGCAGCCCGCGCGGGCATGGGCCCGACGGAGCCACGAGGCGGCACGTGCGCCAATCTCCTATTGAGCGGTGAGAGAGAACCCCGGCGGTGCGCGCCCCGCGGCCTTCCGAGAGAACGAGTCAAGTGCGGCGCCAGCAGGGGACACGCCTTCTCGCCCCGGGGCACGCTGGGACTTGTAGTCTCGATGTGCGGTTCCGAACCATGGGGCCAGGGCATGCTGGGAGCGGTAGTTCTGCTTGGCTTGCCCACACCCAGCGAGGGCACGTGCCAGCAGGAGCTGCTGGTGCCAGCTGCGGTGGGGCGGGCACACAGGGACATGCAGTATGGGGGGATAAGGGGCTTGGTTGGCACAGGCAGGGCTGGATTAACTTTTTGTGGGCCTGGCGCCAAACATAGTTGTGGGCCCTCATTGGGGAAATAGGGCATGTGATGGGGGGCAGTCCGCAGAGCAAGGGGCTGGTTGGGGGCAATGAGAAGCAGCACAGCAGGAGTGGCCCCACTCAGCCCAGCACAAGGGCACTGTTTACAAACCCCAAACTGCTAGACACACACTGGCCTGCCCAGCCCTGCGCTGCCAGCATGCCCCTTCCACACTGCCCCCTGCTCAGTGCCCTGCCCTTATGCCAGTGTCCCCTCACCCAGAGACTTCCCCCACAGATCTCTATGCCCAGCACCCCCTGCCTAGAGACCCCTCCCACTGACATCCCACCACAACTGCACAGCACCCTGCACACCATACCCCCTGCCCAGCTCCCCCACCCACAGATCCCCTACTGTCCAGCACCCCCTTCACTGTCCCACCATCACAGCTGTACAGCGCCCCATATTCCTAAGGGAATTCTGCATCAAATTATGTGCATAATATTTTAAAATTCTGGTTTTTTTTTAATAATAAATAAATGTGGAAGCTCCACCATGGCAGTGGGGAGCACAGGCCCCTGGCTACATGGAGGTGGGAGATCACCCTGCAGCCTTCCCCCTCCCCTAGGACAGGGACTTGGCAGTGAGACTGAACCTGAACCTGACCCTGACACAGCACAAGGGCCATGCCTGCCACAGAAACACCCTGGGGCCCTGCCCCTTTTGTGCCAGGCACACCAGATGTGGGCAGGGAGGCTCAGCCCAGCAGTAGGATCCAAGTGCAGAGGGACTTAGTGTGGAGTTATCCAGATGGGGGTAAGAGGGTTCTGTGGGGGGCAGTCTGGGTGCAGGCAGCTCAGTGGGGGATCTGGATGCACAGGGAGGTGCCAGATGCAGGGGCAATGGGAATCTGCAGGGGGGACCAAGTGAAAGTGGTTGGAGCTCACCGGGGCCGGGGGGGAGGGAGTCTGGGTGCAGGGGAGGTGGGGTTGTTGTACTTAAAGTACTGCACGGGATCTTTTCAGGGGGAATAAGGCAAACGCCACATTCATTGGTAATACATGCATCAATCAACACTGTATCATATGCATATGATCTCATGCACTCACATACATACACACAAACACACTCCGTCTTGTTGTTACCAACTAGTTGCTCCCCTTAACTTCACTGGCCAGGTGAGTTAGATAGGGGAAGGGTGGAGCCGGGCTTCTGCCGATCTGGATCAATGCTCCGATGTTGACAGGACCCAGGGTCCTCTGCCAGACACCTCACATTTATAGCAGCTTCCCTCTCATGCAAATCTATACCAGATTCAAAATCTGTGTCCGTTGGTCCTTTGTGCTGCTTCCTTCTGGGTGTTGTCCCAATACTGTTCAAAGAGGGTGTTTCCAAAAGAAGGAGCTTGATTCTAAACCCCCCACCCACCACAAGGCCTCAATATGTCTGCTCTTCTTTAGTGAGCCCACTTGACAAGTTTGATTGTCCTTGGGTCTGGCTTCCATCCCCTCTCCAACTAGCTGTCTGGAGGTGCTTGCCTTCCACGCCTTGGTCATTCATACCTCATTAATTCAACATGCCAATTGATTAAGGGAGTGTGAGGAGGGGGAATCTTATTCTACTCCTAGCAAAAAGACATTTTTCTTCTACTTTAACTATCCTTAGGGGCTATAACATTATACCAAGGCTTAACACAAAGTTTTCTAAGTTTTTCTACATAGGGACCTGATACAAAGTTCCTGTATCAAAGGACTTGATACAAAGATGTATGAAAATAGTTTAATACAGGGTTATATGAAGAGGCATAATACAAAGTTATATGAAAGTCTAGTATCAGAGGGGTAGCCGTGTTAGTCTGGATCTGTAAAAAGCAACAGAGGGTCCTGTGGCACCTTTAAGACTAACAGATGTATTGGAGCATAAGCTTTCGTGGGTGAATGCCCACTTCATCAGACGCGTGTGACGAAGTGGGCATTCACCCACGAAAGCTTATGCTCCAGTACATCTGTTAGTCTTAAAGGTGCCACAGGACCCTCTGTTGCTTTTTAGTCATATAAAAGTTAGAGGTTATATATGGCTAGGCTTAATATAAGGTTATATAGAGAGGCATAATACAAAGTCATATGAAAGTTATGTGAAGATGCTTAATACAGAGATTTATCTACAGGGTTCATTTGGGTGGCGGTCTAGGTGTAGGTGGTTGGGGCTTAGTGGGGAGGGTGTCTGAGGGAGCTCATTGGGGTGGTACAGATGCAGGGGAGGTGGGGCTTGTCAGGGTGAGGGTTTAATGGGCCTGCTTAACAGGGGAGCCCCAGCTGCTGCCAAGGGGATCTGCATGCTGTGCCCCCGTTTTCCCTATCCCAGGGATCGGTAACCTTCGGCACGTGGCCCACCAGGGTAAGCCCCCTGGTGGGCCGGGCCGGTTTGTTTACTTGCCACATCCACAGGTTCGGCCGATTGCGGCTCCCACTGGCCGTGGTTTGCCGCTCCAGGCCAATGGGGGGCTGCGAGAAGCCACGGCCAGCACATCCCTCGTCCTGCAGCCCCCCATTTGCCTGGAGCCGCGATCGGCTGAACCTGCGGATGCGGCAGGTAAACAAACTGGCCTGGGCCACCAGCGGGCTTACCCTGGTGGGCCGCGTGCCAAAGGTTGCCGAGCCCTGCCCTATCCCCTTCTCTTCCCCATCCCATGCCCCTTCCTTCCCCATTGCCTCTGTCCCCCTGCCCTGCTTGCCCCACCATGGCACTCACTGTTGTACAAGATGAAGGATGGCTCCCAGCACACAGAAGGGAGCTCAACCAGCACTAGGACCCAGAAGGTGGTGTCCTGCTGCAACGTCTGGGGAGCTGAGCAGCACCTTCTTTTTTCAGCCTGGCTGTGCAGCTCTGCAGTCAGAGTAGGTATGCCCGTTCCATTCCCCTCCCCACCTCTTCTCTGCCTCCTCTCCCCAGGTGAGCATGCTGTGGCTGTACTCCTCCCCCACCCTCCTGCCGGCAAACAGCTGATCAGCGGCAGTGAGGGGGAGGGCAGGAAGGGAGCAAGCTGTGAGAAGAGGCAGGGGAGGGGGAGCGTGGCTAACCTACTGCAGCAGAAGACTCAGTGCCAGGAGCACCAAGCTTCTGCCCCCGCAGGAGAGAGTGGGGGGGCAGAGAAGAGTGGGCCTGGTTGGGACCCCCCTGGAGTGTGGGCCCGGCTCCATGGAGCCACTGGCTCCATGGTAAATCCGCTACTGGGCACAGGGGGACCAGACTACCCACACCAACGCAGGTGTGCGCCTTATGTACTGGAGCCTGAGCTGCCCTCCATGAACAGCCTGCACCTCTAGCCCTGTGTCATTGCAAAGGGAGCTAGCAGTGAGTGGGGTGTCACTGATGCAGCAATGGCTCCCTGAGACAGTAGCTCTGAGAGGAGTCAACAGCTCTATTTGCTCAGTGGGGAGTTAACTCCTGTAAGGGGCAACAGGACATTAGTCCGAGTACCAGCACAAGTGCTTTCCTAGTCGGCCTACAGGCCCCAGCTCAGTAATGAGGATGAGGGCAACTGCAGGCTGCATTAGAACCTGACAGGCCTCCTGTGCTTACTACTAGTTTAACTGAACGCTGCTTACTTGACTGTCACCTACAGGAGTCAGGACATCAGTGAGAACACAGGAGGTTCTAGGCTGCTGGGGTTGGAAACAGCTCTGCCACAGACTTCCAGTGAGAGTGTAGGCCAGTCACACAGCCTCTCTGGACAAAATTCTGAAAGGTGCCTAATACCTCAGTTGCCAACCTGCAAATACATATAAATACTGTGTATTAGCTATAGTTGGCCATAGGTGCTGGAACTTAGGGTGCAGGGGCTTTACAGTTTGGTTCAATGGCTCTCAGCACCCCCACTATACAAATTGTTCAAGTGCCCCTGTAGTTGGCTGCAAGGGGACACTAATTGATATAGGCATATTTGAAGAACCAAATGGAATTTCTGTTTGTCTCTCTCTGTCCCACACTCTTTCTTTCTCTCACACAAGCAAGAACGTAGGGATTGCACTGTACCCAGTGTATAATATTAATAGTCATGGTGGAAGTGAGATGCATGACCCTGTAACGCCCCCCCCCACCCCACACACACACACACAGGTGGAATTCCAATTGACTCTAGGGAGCACTCAGACAATGAGGCTCTGGGCTCTCGCCCAAAGATGACAGCTCTTTCAGAATTTTGTTTTCTCCTTCTCCCTCAACACAACACCCATACTCTTCTCTTGAAAGCCTATATACTCCCCCATTCACATTTTAATTCAGATTAAAATACAGAAACAATGCAATCAATATTGTTTTGATCAATTTTCTCTCACGTTGGAGGGCAGAGTGAGCTGCTCCCACATTGTGCTACTAATTTCTTCCTCTGTCAAAAGCTTGTGTACTCCATTTGCCAAATTAGAATGAAATCTCAAAGTCCTATCGGACTCATTGCTAATCCTAGCCATGTATGTAACAACAATAAAAGACATTACCTCACCCACCTTGTCTCTCTAAAGATAAATCCTTTCTTCCACTTCCAGCTCACTAGGACGCTGTGCCTCTTCATCTCAGTGGAGGATCTATCTAATCACAATGATCCATTCATTCATCACCTTCAGACTGAATTATTGCAGCTTGCTATATTTTGAGGCTGAAGGTGGAGGCTACCACATAGGACCAGATCTTTGTCCCGGTTAAGTATGCTTTGCCCTCCTGCAGCCAGTGGCATAGGGGGTGTGATCAGTGTGTCCTTGCCCAGTGATATGTGGCTGATTTCCTTTTGGGGG